TGGGGGGGGGGGACCGGTGGTCCCGCCCGGGTGCGGTCCCCCCCTCACCGGCCGCCAGCGAGGGGGCCGCATCCTCTGCCGCCTCCCGGCTCTGCCTGGTCCCTGCCAGGGTCTGGAGCTGCGGTTTGCCAGAGCCATTTCCATCCGTCCGGGTGCCGTCTCCCCTTCCTGCAGCGCCCATCAATCCAGCTGCTCTTCCCCTGGTGCGCCAGGCAGGTTGCCAGAGCGGGGAACAGGGATTTTTCTGGCTGGTTAAGGGGTTTGAGTAGCAATGACCCACAATCCTGCTCCCTCGGCCTGGCAGAGGGAGGCTGCCTGGTGCTCCCCCTTTCCCCAGCCCCGAATCGCAGGAGCAGCTTGAGATTTTGGGGTGCCTGTAGACGAGGTCTGCTCTAGAGCGGGGACGGGCTCTGGGGTAACACCGGCAGCTGGGGAGGTGGAGTGTTCAGGGTTGCCGAGGGTTTGGCATCCCCCCACCTCTGGGGAAGCCTGGCTCAGCCCCTCCTCGCCCTCTGTTTCCCCCTTGGCATTGAACCTAGAGGGGGACAAGACTCTGGGAGCCCATCGTGATGGCCTCAGGGCTGCAGCAGGCAGCTGCCCTCGGCAAGGCTCCCGTCTCCTCCACCATGCAGCCCCGCTGCCTCTGCAGGCCCCTGCCCGCCCCGCACTCGCTCCGTCTCTTCCCGGCGCTGGGTGCACACCGCGCTGCCCGTGCTGCCTGTACACCAGGGCTCCGCTGCGGGCAGCCCGCTGGGGGTGGTGGCTCGAAAGCAGCCAGCAGTGGCATTTCAGCCAGGTGACTGCCCATGGTGGCATTTTCCATCATTCCTGGGTGGGGACGCTGCCGGCGAGACCGTCCCTGCGGTGGGAGCACGGTGCAGCCGAGGTGTCTGCTGCGCAGGCAGGGCAGGCAGGGGGCATGCTGCCGGGGGTCCCTGCGGGGACACCCCTGTCCCCAGCCTGCAGCGCAGGGCTGCTGGCACTGTCCCTTGGCCGTGACAAAAGCTGCTGGGCCGGACCTCGGCGCCCGCCTGGCTGAACCGGGAAAGCTGGAAGCTGGGCCGCGAGCCCTGGGTGGCCTCGGGGATGGGAAGTCTGGTGACGCGTGGCCTTGGCCTGGACAAAGCTGCCGAAGCAAAAAGCAAACAAGCACTTTCAGCCGCAAAGTGCTCTCCGGTGGGCCGGCACGTGCCGGTGCTGCTGCAGGAGGGGGGGGCGGGGGGGGGCC